TTGGCCAAGGCGCCGCCCCAGCTGAAGCAGGCGCTCGTCTCCTTCGTTGCGGCGCGCGCGCACGTCTTCGGCGCCGCGCTGCAGGCGGCGCTCGACGCGCTGCGGGCGGCGATGCCCGCCTCGGTGGGCATCGACCAGCCACACCCGCTCTCCCAGTCGCTCGGCGCGGCGCTGCAGCTGGTCTACGAGGTGGTTGGGCCGTACAAAAGCGCAAGAAGCCGTGTCAGCAAGTTCCTGCCCGGGCGCTTCCTTCTCGACGGGTCGGCACTTTCCGACCCCGCCGACACGAGCGCCTTGGCAGCCCTGCAGCGGCTCGAGTTCCGCGCCGCCAACCCGACCGCCACGCTGCCGCTCGCCGTGCCGCCCGGCGCGATCGCGACGCTGGTGGCCGCGCTGCAGGCCGCGCTGGCGAACGGCCAAGCGGCCATGGTGTGGGCCGCGGTGCTCGCCGCCGAGCGGCGCTCCGCGGCCACGAGCAGCGTCCCGACGCTGCTGCTGCTGCTCGACGAGCTCAAGGCCGACATCGACGCCGTGCCTGGCTTGAACATCAACACGCTGGAGCAGACTTTCGCCAAGGCGCCCTCCGAGCTGAAGCAGGCGCTCGTCTCCTTCGTTGCGGTGCGCGCGCGCGTCTTCGGCGCCGCGCTGCAGGCGGCGCACGACGCGCTGCGGGCGGCGATGTCGGCAGTCCCGCCCAACGTTGGGCGGGTCGTTTGCCGCGCCGCCCTCGCCCACGGCCTCATCGAGGCGTGCGTGTCCTTGGAGAGGTGCACGACGAGTTTCGGGATCCGCGGAGCGGCGATGTCGGGGTGCGTGGAGCTGGACCCCCCCGAGCCGACCATCGCTGCCGCGCTCGAGAGGCTTCACGTGACGGACTCTCTCCGCGACGGCTCCGGCGCGGAGCGGGCGGTGCTCCCTTCCTGGTGCTCGGGTGAGGACGCCTCCGAGGACGTGCTCGAGGTGCTCCGCTGCGAGTGCGGTGGCGGCGGAGACGAGCTGCCGCTGGTGTCCTCTATCGGCCCCAACTTTAAGCTGCTCGCCGTGCTCGACGCGGTGCTCCGCAAGTGCGTCGTCGAGAGCGACGTCAGCGGCCCCAGCAGGCCGCACGTCATGCTCGGGCGGCGGTCGCTGCAGGCGCGTGCCAAGTGGGCCGAGGCGAAAGGCGACGCGTGGGCGCTATTCCAGCTGACGCAGCGGGAGGCGGAGCGCGCAGCAGGCCCAGCTCCAGCTCTTGCCGTTTCGGAAGTGACGCAGGAAGAAAGGCAGTGCTCTTCATCACCGTCTCTCGGCCAGGTTCACCTCTTCCAACCTGAATAGGCGCGTGTTTGTCATGGCGGCGCTGCTGCTGCGAAGAGGCGGGATGTTTACTTGTTGGTGGCCTTTCAAGTAGGCGCTCCTGACCGAGACGCGGTCGCTGATACAGACGCGCGTGCCGCTCCACTCCGGCAAGCCTTTCACCGCCGACGGGCTGCTCGCCGCCCTCGCGGCCTCCGAGGGCGGCTCGCCCGCGCTCTGCGAGGTGCGCCAGCTGCTGTGTGCCTCGGAGCCGCTTGACGACGTGTTCGCGCGAAAGGGCAGCTTGCGCCCCGACCTCGGCGAGGACGACGCCTTCCTCGCCAAGGCCGTCGTCACCTTCTCCAACTTGGTCGAGCTGTCCGTCGCGCCGCTCGATGGCGGCCCGCCCGGCAACCAGCGCCGCATTCGGCTGGTTTGGGAGGAGGGCTACGTCGCCCTGAGCGCGCAGAGCGGCGCGGCGTGGCATCCCCTTTTCAAGGTGTTGGACGCCGCGTGCGAGGCGGAGCTGCGGCGGCGGGGCGTCGACCCGGCGACGGCGCTGCTGGGCGAGCTGTCGATCCTTTTTGTCAAGCCGTACCTGTACGGCGCCAAAATCGGCATGACTCTCTGCCGGCACCTGTACCGCCCCAACGGCCTGAGCATGCAGCTCCTCTCGGGCCAGGCGCTGGTCGTCGGCCTCGAGGGCGAGCAGGACGTGGTGCTGGACAAGCCGACCAAGGTGGTCAACCACGTGTGCCAGCTGCTGCGGGTGCGGCGCAGAGTCCCTCCTTCAGCCTCTCCTTTCCGCCCGCGCTCTCTCCCTTCACCCTGGAGCTGCCGCCCCAGGTGGCGCCGTCCCACCTCTTCATCTCCGCAAAGGGGCCGCCGAAGGTCGTGATCTTCGGGGACAACCCCTGCTTCTCCTTCTCCCTCCGCCCGCGCGTGGTCGATTTTGCCGGCTCAGACGTGCGGGTGCTCAACCGTCTCTTTGGCATCCACAAGGCAGACCCGTCGCAGGGAGAGGGGCTCCGCCTCGCGCGGCTCACCGGCGCCGGTGTGCCGGATTGGATGCTGGAGCGCTGCCGGTCCATGCCGCACGACGTCTTCTTCGACTCGCAGCGGCCGGTGATCTCGCGAGTGCAAGCGGGCAGGCACGTCGGCAGCACCGGGCGCGACCTCCTCGCCGCGGCCAGCTGCGCTGAGCTCGCGCCCCCGATTCCGGCGGTGCACCGCGCAGCGGCGGCGGCGGCACTCGAGGCCGGCGAGTCGCTGCTTGAGTTCACGACGCCATCATTTTCGTCGTTCGAGGACACACGCCGCTCGCCGTCCGAGGCTGCGGTGGAGCTGCAGAGGCGGTTCGAGGCGGCGCGGCGCGAGGAGGCGCGGCGCGAGGAGCTGGCGGACGAGCGCCGCGCCGCGACTTCCGCGTCGAGTGGGCGCCGCCCGACGAGCATCCCGACGACGCTGTCCGGCGATCCGGCGCGGCGGGCGCGCACGCCACGCCCGAAGCCTTCGGGCCCCGCGGCGCAGGCGCAGGCGCAATCTGCTCTTGTGCTCGTCGGCACCTCGCCCGCAGAGGACGGCGCGGACGGCTCGAACCCCCCCAGGCGCTCAACCCGCCGCAAATTCACGTGAGACGGCGCCGCCCCTCGTGCCGTTGCCGGCTGCTGCCGCCACGGCCGCGCATGAGAGATGGGGTCCTCGCTGCCCTCGCTTGTGCGAGAGGGGGGGGGGGGGGGGGGGGTTAACCAAGATTGCGTATTGGTGCGTCAGGTGCGTCAGGGATGTGCGTCTTCCGCATCTACGTCCACCAACCAGTGCCCGCACGGGCGCAGCTGCGCCCACCTTGCGCAGCTCCGCACCACACGCGGGCAGATGGCGCAGCCGGGGGAGCCCATGGCTGGCAGACTCTCCATCTTGCCGTCCTCTACGAGCTCGTGTACGCACCCGCTCAGCGCGTCGTCCGCCGCCCTCACTAGGCTGAAGCGACCGGGGTCGTCGCGGGCAATGTGCTCCTCGCGCGACAGGCCATTCTCGTGCGCGATAAACCCGCACAGAGCGGGGAAGCCAGCCCGCCGCTCGTCGGGTCGGAGCAGCCACTCCAGCCACTCCACCGCCACGCCGCGCCGCTCGAGGGGCCACTCGTCGTACCGCTCAACGAGCCAGCGCTGCCACACCTCCGCGTTCTCCATCCCGGGGTCGGTGATCTCGATCAGAAAGTCCACCAGCGCCTCGTGCGCGCCGTGCAAGCGCGAGTAGAGGATGGCGTGGTGCGAGTACTCGCCGACAGTCACCGGCCTGGTGTCGCCCGCGGCGGGCTCGTCCTCGCACACGCCCGCGCGCATCAGCAGCTCGCGCCACTTGTCGATGGCGGCGACGCCCGATCGCGCGCTCGTCCTCCGCACGACGAGCCGATCGAGCCGCTCCGCACCCTCGCCGCAGGAGAGCGCCAACGCGACGGCACGCACTCTCGTGTAATCGATGTACGCCGGATCGAATACACGGAATTGAATCCTCTGTGGGCCCGGCAGGAGGCTCGCCTCCTTCGCGCCGATCGCGTTGGAGAGGCGCCACAGCGGCACGCCACGCACGAGCCGCGCCTTGCCGTCGATGTGGATGTCCAGATCGAGCCGCGCCTCCGACTTGTGGACACCGACGATGCGCGCCGGCGCGTACAGCGGCTCCCCGGGGAGGAGGACCGCCGCCCGGCAGCGAACCACAAAACCTCGGAGCAAGGTGGCGCCTCCTCCGGAAACATCCGGAAACATCCGGGTCTCGCAGTCGTTAAACGTCTCGGAGACGTCGCGCAACAAGTCCAGGCCCTCGCCCGAGAGCAGCGCCTCCACCTCCTCCGCCGTGAGCACCGCCCGCCCGCCGAGGCCTGCTTGATACCCCGCCACGAAGCACAGGTCGGCGGCCCGCCTGCCCGGCGGCCCGGTGGCATTCTTGATGTACTCGTCGTCGTCCTCCCGCGGGTACACGTACCGGCCGTCGTCGAGCAGCACCTGGTAGGGCGCGCCCTGCCCCGCGCCGACCGGCCGGAGCTGCGTCACCCGGCCGGTCGGGGCAAACTCGCTGCCGTCCTGGAGGCGGATCTTGCACCGCACGCGGTCGCCGGGGGCGAAGCGGAGCCTCCCGCCGGAGCCCCGCGCCCTCTCTCTCTCGGCATACGCGCGGAACTTCTCCTTGGACACCGTGCCCGACCTCTCCTCGTCTCTCAGCTGCTCGAGTATCGCCAGCAATTCTGCCGCCTCCAGCCTCATCTTCTCCGCCTCCCCGGAAGCCCTCCACGCCTCTCGATGCTCTGGCAGGGCGTGATCGGCGAGGTCGACGAAGTCGAAGGTCGCGTCCAGGATCTCGACCTCGCTCCTCTGCCCGCGGAGCAGCCGCTGCAGAGGCGGCGGCGATGGCGCGTCGACGCGCACCGGGCCCGCCGTGGAGGGCTGCTCGACAAAGTGGAGCCCAGCAGAGTCCACCTCGAGCTTCTCCGCCACGCTCGCGAGGAAGCTCGGCTGCTTCGCGACGGTCGCGATGTGGGTGGCGCCCTCGGGGCTCTCCGACAGCACGATCAACGTCACCCACACCACGCTGTCGACGGTATACAACTCGCACATCAGATCGTCCTCGTCGTAGTGAGCGCAGGGGCCGATGGACTCGGTCAAGGCGTGCACGAGCGGAGGGCGGCCTCTGCCGGAGTCCTCGGGCTCGTAGTAGTCGTCGAACATGCCGTCCTCAACATCGTCCGGCGCGCTGAACGAGAAGAAACAGGAGAACCCGTTCACTCTCTCCCGCACCCATGGCGGCCGCCGCAGCGGCGGCGGACCCGCCACGGGCGCCGCCCCGTCGGCTGACGTCCCCGCACCCGGCGAGGTCATCGTGCTCGAGGCGGCGCCCGTGCCGGAATTGGGCGCCGCGGCCGAGCTGCCATTCCCCCCGCTCGCCGCCACCGCAGTGGCCGTCTCCGCCACCGTCGGCTCGATCTCGTCCACCTCCATCTCCTCGCCGCCCGCCTCGGGCTCCCTGGCTTGCGCCTCGGGCTCCCTGGCTTGCGCCTCGGGCTCCTTGGCTTGCGCCTCGGGCTGTGCGTGGCGGGCAGGGAACGGCGTGAGGAGGAAAGGGGAGGAGGGGTGGGACGGGCGCGGGCCGGGCGCGGGCAGTCGCGCCTCGTCGCCGGGCCTCCGCAGATGGTCGAAAAGGCTCCGCGCGAGCTCGTCGAGGACACCTCTCTCCATAACGAGGCAGAGCGCGCTCTGGCCGTACTCTCCCGCGCTGTGGCCGTAGAGGTCCTCAGCGTTGATGTCCGCGCCGTGATTGAACAGCTTGACGACCATCGGCGTGGAGCCGTGCTTCACAAGGCGCATCAGCGCGGTTCTCTTCTCCCACTGCTCCACCCCGCTGTCCAGCAGCGCCTCCACCTCTGCCAAGTCGCCCTTCTCGGCGGCACGCGTCAGCGCAGTGTAGCCATCGGCATCCTCGGCATCGACCGCCGCGCCGCTCTCAAGGAGCTTGGTGGCCATGCGTGCGTCGCCCTCCTCGGAGGCGCGCATCAGCGGGGAGGACCTTCCCGGGCTGTCCGCATCAGCAATCGTTGAGGGGCGGCCCTTCTTCACGCCGCACGCAGGAGGCGCGTCGACATCCTCCGCTTGTCCAGTGGCGGCGGCGGCCGTCAGCGCGCTCTCGCCGGCCTCGCCCGCGTCCATCCCGGCGCCGGCGGCGAGGCCACCTCAGCGTCAGCGAGTCAGATCCCGCTGTGGCTCGAGGTTGTCGAGCGCGCGCGATTTCTTCTTCTCGCCCGATCTGCGTTCCCGCACGAGAGCTTTCCCCAAAATCGGTCTGGGCCCGGCGGTCGCTGCCAATCCCTCTCGGGCATCGCTTCCAGGGACGAGTTTGGAGTGTGTCTGCTATCTCACTCACTCACGCACGAACGAGCAGATAGCGTGGGTTGCAAGCGCGACCGCTATCTCATTCGGCCGGGCATATATGGCGAACCCAGTGCTCAACGCCCCTCTGAGCTAGAGCAGCCGAGCCGCCGCGCTGCTGACGCTGCTGCTGCTGCCTTTAGGACTGGCGTCGCTGATCTCGCTCCAGGAATCTCGTCACACAGCCAGCCGTCAAGGGCAGTACACAGCCAGTGCAGGGCGGTCCACAGCCATGCACAGCGGTACGCACCCTCAGCAGTACGCACCCTCAGAGGGCAGTACACAACTGGAAGGCAGTACACAACTACCGCAGGATGGCACACAGCCATCCTTTGGGTGATGCAGGCGGAACGCGCCCCGGGCGGCGGTACGCACCCCCAAGTGTATTGTGGGGTGTTGCGGGGAGAGGCAGTCCTGAAGCTGACGGCTGCCTTGTAAAACTCATTGAACTCGTCACACAAGGTCCAGCGGGTGTTGGTCGGTACGCACCTGCTACATTGGGGCGGCGTGGGTCAATCCCAGCTCAGTCTGGACGCGGCGAGCTCTGGCCAATCTCTGGCCAATCGTTGCATAGTTGGCTCGTTAAATCCATAGCACGGGACCGAAAACCTCTCAGCGCGGCGCGCTCGCCACGGTCGCCCGTGGGATGCGCGTCGCGCCGGTGCGCGCGCCGCCACACCGGGCCTCCCGGCTGCATCATGGCGCCTGACATGGGAGGTTTGGTGGCAGGCTCGGGGGGGGCGGACTCGGGAATTGAAAGCCCGTCCCAGTCCTCGCATCCGCAGACGGCGCCCTAAATGTGCTCACAGCCGCGCACGCCCGGGCGCGTCGCCCGCCCGCGGGGGTCGGTGGCGGCCCGGTCTTGTGCGCGGCTTGGTGCCTGCAACCACGGGCCATTTTCGGGGCGGCGACGCGCCAGGGCGCGCCGTCTCTTGGGGTGAGAGAGGCCGTTGGGAGTTGGGGGGGTGTGCGGGTGTTGTGTCTGGGCCATGGAACGAGGCCGCCCTGGCAGAGCCGTGAGGCACCGGATGCGGCGCGCTCGCCACGGTCGCCCGTGGGATGCGCGTCGCGCCGGTGCGCGCGCCGCCACACCGGGCCTCCCGGCTGGATCGCCGAGTATTGTCACTCGCTTTTTCTCGTGCCTCTTTCTCTTTTACCTTCTTACAGCTTCCCTCCGTTTTTAACTTGTATGTCTTTCCCGCGATTTAACTCACTTCCTTTCTCTCTTTCCTTCCCTACGCGCGGCGTGAGAGCTCGGCCAAGCAGCGAGGACAAAAATCCATATACTCGCCGAGAACGGCCAGGTAGGGCTGAGACCGACATACACGCTCATGAGTGACGGCTTTAGATTGCTCAAAAGAATGACCCCCCTGTCTCGTCCTTCCTTCCCAGCTAGTTTTAACGGGAGCAGTTTTTTTTTAGTGCAAGCAGGTTTTTAACTACTAAAAAGTGGAAGCAAGTTGCTTCCACTTTTTGTAGTTAAAAAGCCTGTGCAACCGGTGTGAGTACGGACAAAGAAGAGTCGGGAACGACCGTTTTTACGCGGAGATATTTACCTGTAAGAGGAAACTTCGGCTGCCGCTCGCCTGGCAAAGCAGGACTCGAAGGGATGCGCGGCGAATGCATGGTGGGTCATATGTGCACATACAGGCGCATTTTTGGTGCTGAACCGCTTCGTGCACCCCAAGTCTTTGAACATGCAACTTTGTCGCCGACGATCACCTTCCACTCCAACGCACCTTCCACTCGGCTGCTGCTCAATCGGCTGCTCACGAGCGCCGGAGAGCAGCGACAACTGCCCCTTTGGCGTCGAGTGCTGTGCCCAACGGTGGGAGCGCAAGGCTTCTGGGTGGGTCTGGAGAGGGGCCATTTTCATGTGCTTGCTCGTACGTAGGCTACGCTGGAGTGCCGCAACGCCAAGCTCGACGGCACGCGTGCCGTCGACAACGCCTCCTTTGCCCCTCCTTGGACTGGCAGCGGGCTCGTCGCAAAGATGCTCCTCTCCCATGACATGCGGTACACCGCCACAGGCATCACTGAGCGCGACGACCGCTGCGGCACGCGACCGTCTGGCGAGCTGAGCTCGCCTGCGCTGGCAGCAGCTCGCCTGCGCTGGCAGCGCAGCTACGGCTTTAGAGATCTCGTCCACACTGACAGCGATGCATGTGGAATTCAATCAAATTTCTTCATAAAGTTTGATAATTGTGTTGTACCATGGCCCTGGGGTGGCCAGGGGCGCGCAGTGGGCGACGCTACGGGCCGGAAAGTGGCTCTATCCGTCTTCAAGATGTGCCACCCGTGTTCTTGTGAGAACAGCGGATCGTGCAGGTCTGAGACCCGCTTTTGCACGCGCGCCTGGAATGTGCGGCAACTGGGGAGAGATATTATGGGCTACTAATTCTGAGGTCTTTACTCTACACGCACAGAGGACTGCTAGAAAAACTACTACTCGGACGGATCGAGCATGTCATCCTCGCTTGAGGCAGAACCGCTGCTCGCAGTCTCTACGCCCTCACTTTCCTCGCTGCTAGCTCCGCTTGCCGCTCCCGTCTCCTCTCCCTCGTCTTCCCCATCACTCCGAGACGCGTCCGAGTCATCGTCGCGGAGGACGCGCTGCGCCGCCGATGCCACACTCTGCAGCAGCTGAGTCGGCTGGGTTTGTCCGCCGCCGGCCTGGCTGGCCGCGGAGGACAACCCTGCGGCAGGCTGTGACCTCCTGCGCAGCCGAGGGCGCGAGGCGGGGCGTCGGCAGGCATCGGGTTCCGGCTGTCTCCCCGACTCCGTCTAGGCGAGTAGGCGCAGCCGCTCGAGCTTCGCCACCAGCTCCGCCTCCTCGTCGTCCAAGCCTTGGAGGAGGTGGCCGTTGGCAGCTCGCGTGGAAGCATTCGTCGCAAGCTGCCGAATCTTGCAGCGCTCACTCACGTCGGCGTCCGCGCCGCCTTCGCCGGCGTCGCCCATGGTCCTGCATTCGCATTGGTCGCACGCGTCATAGCCGGGCGCAGGTGGGTCTGTGCGGCGGCGTGGGCGGCCGAGGCGGTGTGTGAGCGGCCGGGCAGTCGAGTGGGGCTATGGGGCGCCCCGTGTCCGCGCGGGGTGGCCAGGCTGTGGCTGGGAGTGGAGCGCGGCGGCTTTTGCACCTCCTGTGGAAGCAGCCGTTCAAGCGAGGCGGACCGTGCGACTCGATCGTGGACTTGTGTAGCCGCTCCTGCGCGTGGCGGCCAGGTGGGTGGGTGCTCTGGCGGGGTGCAGCGACTCAGGAATTTAGGTGGGCGCAGAGGAGCGCGCGCCGAGCGAGACTGCGGGCCGAACGCGTTACGAAAGGAATGCCGGTGCTTTGCCCGGGTTTCTGCTGGGGCTCTCCCGTATGGGGAGCCCCGGGTACTCTTTAGCTGTACTCGTCTAGGCAGGGGTTGGTTTCTAAGCTCCGAGTAGAGGGGGCGCTCCGCCGCCAGGGGAAACCCAAAGCGCAGACTAACCCTGCTCGGAGAACCGTTTTAGATCGAGAGGGAGAAAAGAGAATCTTACAACAACACTCCCTCGGCACGACACTAGGCACGAGGGAGAAAAGAGAAGCGCTGATATCAGAAGCGCTGATATGCACGCCTCCCAGTCTTCCCCGCCGCGCCGCTCGCGCTGCCTCGCCGCCGCCGCCACCGCCACTCCCTCGCCAAACACGCCTCCGCCCGCCCGCCTCCTCGACCTCCCCACGGAGCTCCTCGAGCGCGTCCTCTCTCGCTGCGAAAGCCCCGCCGACATCGCTCGCGTCGCGGCCGTCTCGCTCCTCTTCCACGCCTCGCTCGCGCTAG